TTTGTCATGAAGGTCTACTTCATCATATATAAAATTTCATTCACTGATTTCAATGGATGTTTTAATTTTTATTAAGTAAGCATATTTGTTATTTCTAGTATTATACCTTGAATGAATTATTCTTCTGCTTGAGTATCTCAGGCTGACAAAAACCTTGGAGCAAGAGGCAGAGAGGGTGTGGATAGTGGGGTGAAATGTGTTCATTCCTGATTTAGTATATTCTCTCTCTCTCTTTTTTTTTTTTGCCTGTGTCTAGTATATACTTTTTATAAACATGGGAGATTAAACATCCTTATCTTCTGCTATATGGCTGGAAAATAAGTCTTGAGAAAATTAATGAAAGGACAGACTAGTGGATAAGCAAAATCTTGGACACAAAATATAGGTTTCCAAAAGACTCCTGTGAGGGACAAAGCCTAGTGGCTAACAATGGCCTATGGACTTGGATGGTGAGGCTAGATCCTTAGCTATGAGAAGAATATTGCAAGGATTCCTTCCTTTTTAAGTCCCAAGGCCTGTTGATAAGCTTTAGCAACAATGGCTATACAATGAAATTTGGAACCTGGTTAGGAGGAGAGTGTTTCAAGGGCCAGGTCTGTTTGTTTCCAGGTTGGAGTCTCAAAGAGAAGGATGAGAGTCTGGCCAGCCCTTACTGACCATGTATATTTACCCCATTACAGGGGCTTGCATGGCACATGAAGGACAGGGGCAGGTTCTGCTTCTGCCTGCCTTCTATTCCCTGGCTCTTGGTAGGTGGACAATGATATGTATTCAATGGATAAATAAATGCATGTGAAAAATAGCAACACTAACTCTCATTGAAGGGAAATATGACATATATAATGACTTTGTGATAAGAAATCAGAAAAGTATAATATATATTTTTGACCCTTAATATTGACTCAAGCAATAATCTACTATGTCATCTTAAATAAGCTACTTGGTCTCATCAAATCTGGTATGTATGTCAATAGAAGTGATTCAACCTCTTGTAACTCAAGAAGAGACTTATCATAGTTAGCACAGCTCCACTTCTGAGTGAGTTTAGACAAATTATTTCACTCTTCTAATAATTTATTTTCATATAAAAATGAAGAGGTTTAACCAGATGACCTCTTAAGTTTCTTTTAGCTCTGAAGGTTTGAAAAAAAAAAAAAAAAAAACATAAAATTAAGAGCTCCTAAATCTGGTAACTTCAGCAAAGCTGCTCAATACAAAATCAATGTACACAAATCAGTGGAATTTCTATACACCAAAAATGTCCAAGCTGAGAGCCAAGTCAAGAATGTAATTCCATTCACAATAGCCACAAAAAATAAAATATCTATGAATACAGCTAATCAGAGAGGTGAAAGATCTCTACAATGATAATGACAAAACATTGTTGAAAGAAAACAGAGATGACACAAATAAATGGAAAAACATTCCATGCTCAATGATAGAAAGAGTCAATATTGTTAAAATGGCCATACTACCCAAAGTAATTTATAGGCTCAATACTCTTCCTATTAAACTACCAATGATTATTTACAGATTTAGAAAAAAAAATCTATTTTAAAATTTAAATGAAACCAAAAAAGCCCAGACAGTCAAAGTGTTCCTAAGCAAAAATAACAAAGCCAGAGCTATCACATTACCCAACTTTGAATTACAAGGCTACTTTAACCAAAACAGCATAGTATTGGTTAAAAAACAGACACATAGACCAATATGACAAGTTAGAGAACCAAGAAATAAAGCCACACACTTACAACCATTTGATATGCAACATAGTCAATAAAAACAAGTAATGGGGAGGTGACACCCTATTCAATAAATGGTGCTGGGATAGCTGGCTAACCATATACAGAAGATGGAAACTGGGCCTTTTCCTCTCATCAAAAATCAGCTAAAGATTGATTAAAGACTTAAATGCAAAATCTCAAACTAAAATAACCATAGAAAAAAACCTAGGAAATACCATTTTAGACATAGGGTCTAGCAAAGATTTTATGACAAAGACTCTAAAAGAAATTTCAACAATAACAAAAATTGACAAGTGGGGCATAATTAAGCAAAAGTGCTTTTGGACAACAAAATAAACTACCAACAAGGTAAATAAACTACCTACAGAATGGTAGAAAATATTTGCAAACTGTGCTGCCAACAATGGTCTAATATGCAATATCTGTAAGGAACTTCAACAAATTAACAAAAACAAGAAACCCTATTTAAAAATGGGCAAAAGATATGAACAGACATTTCTCAAAAGAAGAAACACAAGTGGACACGCATATTTAAAAAAAGCTCAATATCACACATCATTAGAGAAATGCAAATTAAAACCACAGTGAGATACCATTGAACACTAGTCAGATTGGCTATTATTAAAAAAAAAAAAAAGATGGTGGCAAGATTACAAAGAAAGAGGAATGTTTATACACTGCTGGTGGAAGTGTAAATTTCTCAGAGAAAATATCATTGATCCAGCAATTCCATTATTGAGTATATACCAGAAGGAAAATAGATAATTCTGCCAAAAGGACACATGTATGCACATGTTCATTGCAGCACAATTCACAATGGCAAAGACATGGAATCAACCTAAATGCCCATCAATCATAGACTGGATAAAGAAAATGTGGCACATATATACCAGGGAATACTATGCAGCCATAAAAAAGAATGAGATCACATTTCTTGCAGTGAGATGGGTAGAGCTGGAAGCTATTATTCTAAGTAAATTGATGCAGGAACAGAAAACCAAATACCGTATATTCCACTTATATTTAGGAACTAAACATTGAGTACACATGGATACCAGGAGGGGAACAATAGAAACCAGGACCTACTTGAGGGTAAAGGGTCATCCTGAGAAAACTACCTATCTGTTACTGTGCTTATTACCTGGGTGACTACATAATCTGGACACCAAAATCTCTGACACACAATTTACCCATGTAACAAAAATGTACATGTACCACCTGAACCTAATATAAAAGTTGGAATGAAAAAAAAATACTATTTTCTATTGTCTATATGTACCAGAAGGTTTTTAAGTTATATGTAATTGATTAAATTCTAATTTATTAATAGAAAGTATTTCTTTTACATTTAAATATAAACCATAAGGTATAGTATGATTTTGTTGGTAACTTTTAAGTCTATTTTAAGCATTTGTAGACGTTCACTTTCAGGTATAGAGGACAGCTCTATCTGAATCATATTCAGGACTTCTTTCATAGTCTTCTATTTATTAAGCGCTGAGCCTCTTTTATGCCTCATGCCCTCTGTGTAGCTAGTTGTTCTATGTCAAATTGATGTGTGTTTTTTAAAATTAGGCATAAAAAAATTGTACAAATTACAAAGCAATAACAGTCTCTTTCCCTTTGTAGATGTTTGAAATTCACCTTCTATATGGTCTTTAGTCATGTGACATTGTTTTATTTGATTTATATTACACACCATAGGAAAGGAAATAGAGCCAACTTGCTAAATATTTTTACTCAGTACTCTCAGCAAACCATTTTTAAGTATTTGCTGTGGACTTACAGTGTCCAGGTAACAATTATAGACTTTTGTATGCTGGAGCTGAGATCCATCTGTAAAATTTTTAGGAATTTTGTGATCTGATTGCTACACACAACCTTTATTTAAAAGCAAATTATATAAACTTACAGATAAATAAATTATATTAAAATAAAATAAACAGATACTGAAAACTCATCACTTTCTAAATAATTATATTACATGCATCATTTTACATGTTTTTTAGATAGTTTAAGTTATTGTGTCTGTATGATGAAATGCCATACATGTGCACTACTGGGCATCTTTTATCAACTCTGTGCTTACTGACGTCATGTTACTCCCTTAAAATTGGCCAAGGAGGGAATATCAGCACCACAGAAATCAGCAAATGCTACAAATCATTCCATTTTCTCCCCTCCAGCCTATTTGTAAACATTTATCAGCACATCACTGCTTCTAGGTGCTACTTAGAGTCAAGAAGTAGCTGTGGCATTGTGGAAATCCAGTCTTCTGTATAAGCAGCGTCAAATAAAGAGGATCAGGGCTTTGAATGCTCATGCAGATTTATAATTAAAAGGTAATGGGCAAGATAATTAAAAGGTAACTGAGGTAAACAGTGTGTGCTTTGAGCCGAGTATTTTTATTATGTTCAATACATACTTTACCAGCTAGGATATAGTATAAAGCAGATTTTGCATATTCTGAATGCAGTGAAAATACATTGGCCAAAGCTTATAGTTGTTTAAATGAACTTTGTTAAAAAGCAAATAGCTGCTCTTTGTTATTAAATACGTGTGTATACACGAGTAGTTTTATAGAACATCTAGTATTTAGCTGTAAAATGTCTCCCAACTTTTATTTAGATAAGTTTAATACAAGTGTTTGGGCCAATTTACCTTTAAGACTCTTGAGTAAAGGCTTAGTGGCTATTAAAGAACACTCTGGGATTATAAATCGCCTGTCATTTATGGGAATTGAAACAGCATTTAATGAGTATCAACAATGTCCAAACAACTTGTTTGACTGTTAATATAGATGATTTCTTGCCTTCAGCACTTTATAAGGGGGAATGAATAGGAAAGAGAGGGAAGTAATATCTAGCTGACCCTTGAACAATGTGGAGAGTGAGGAGTGCCGACCCATGCACAGAAAGGTAGAGGGTAGGTCGAAGGAGAGAATTAGAAAAAATAACCAATAGGTATGAGGCTTAATATCTGGGTGATGACATAATCTGTATAACAAATCCTCACAGTTTACCTATGTAACGAACCTACACTTGTACCCCTGAACTTAAAGGTAAAACAAAGAAAATCCAAGAATAATAAATTTTGACTCCCCCTGAATTTAACAACAAATAGCCTACTGTTGACTGGAAGCCTTATCAATAACATGCACAGTCGACTAACACACATTTTTATGTTATATGTATTACATACTATATTCTTACAATTATGTAAGTTAGACAAAAGAAATGTTATTAAGAAAATTATGTCATCACTTCAGCAACACATACATTAAAATGAGTAAAATACAGAGATGAGCATGGTCCTTGCACAAGGATGAAACACAAATTCCTGAAATATTCCATATTTTGTCTACCTATATCAAAATATAACATGTCACTAAATAAGCACATCTATTATATATACATATAAAATTTTTTAAAATTAGAAAAATAAGGAAGCAAAAATATATTTAGTGTTCATTAAGTGGAATTGAATCATCATAAAGGTCTTCATCCTCTTTATCTTCAAATTGAATCGGCTGAGGAGAAGGAGAAAAAAATGGTGTTGGTCTTGACGTCTCAGGAGTGGCAGGGGCAGAGGAGATGGAGGAGATGGAAGGCGTGGCAGGAGAGACAGGCACCCTTGGTGTAAGTTTTATTTTAAAATATCCACATATAAGTAAACCTGTGTAGTTTAAGCCTGCATTGTTCAAGGGTCGACTGAATACTGAACACATAAAAGACACTGCTCATTGCTTATCTTCAATCTAATGATATTATTTATTCTCATTTGATAGTAAAGAAATAAAGGCTCCAAAAATTTGAAACTTTTACGTGATAATATTTCAAATAATTGGCAGAGCCAAGATTTTCAAAACATATCTGTGTATATGATACTTTTATTCAACAGAATTTTCTTGGATGTTAGGCCAGTCCACTAAGTTCATAGGAAACATAATCATCATGGTCTTCAGAGTTCAGTGTGAGCATCCTGCAGTAGTCTGATTTACGACTTAATGGACAAATAGGAATTAGGCAGGTAGAATGGAACGGAGTGGCTGCAAAGCATTTTAGGCAGAGAGAATAAATAACATCTTCAAGCAGCTGGGGTAAGAGCAGGAAGGCAAATTAACCATAACAGAAACTATTGTGAATATTTTACTGATGAGTTGAAGTGATTTATTCTTTTAATCTTTTAAAGAAACCATAAGTAGACTCAGCCATCATAAATTAGGTTGTTCCAGGTGCTGGAGTAACTAGACCATGAATTTTTATATCATTACAAGAAGTTTGAGTTTTTTTTCTTCAGCACTGAGTATTCCAAACAAGGAGATAGTATGATCAGCTTCACAGTTTAGAAAGGTCACTAAGTTTTGTGTAAGTAAAGTTTGAGTATTTGAGTAGTAACTTTCTTACTTAAAATGTGTTGTTCTCCTCAAATTTTTTATGTGTTTATAAGAACTGAATGGATTTTATATGTGAAAATCTAAATAGAGTGCCTGAGATACAGAAAGTCCTCAATAGAGAGTGGTCATTAGTTTTGCTTACTATTTCACAGTTATCCTCTGGCTAGCCTTCAAACTCACCTTTCACTGCTCTTGTCTTGAACTTCAACATACTCGGAATATTTTTCCACATCATGTATCTGTTTCCTGAAGTGCTTCCATTGCGTAATTTGCTTAGTGAACTCCTAGTATATTTTTGCAACAGCAGAGGCTGAAGAAGAAGCAGTAGCTAGAAGAAGTTTGTGTCACTCACATTTGGAAAGTATCAGTGAGAGAGGCTCAGCAAGGGATCCTTCAAAGAGCTCACTTAAGAATCAACCAGAGAAATGGTAGGTTATAAACGACTAGCAGGCCTGGAATTCATGAGGTTATACTGTGGCAGGAAAAATGTGCATTTCCTTTACCTGTGTATTTCTCACTTTTTAGTCCCAGAAGCATCTGCTGTAGCACCTAGCAAGTTGAGGGACAAGTAAAGGAGAGAAGAAAAGGATGTGATTCCTTTTTATTTTTGTTCCTTTTAAGCTAAGGAAAGAGGGCTTAAACTGCTGAGCCGTTAATTATAATTAATACCTGGAAGAGAATGACTTTTTAATAGAATTGAAATTGTGCTGACAGTTAAAAATGACCATGGAATCTATGTATTATCTGTGAGTAATGGGAAAATGTGTGGAACTTTCTGAGATTTTATATAGGGCAATTAAATAATTTCCTCGCTGAATGTATTTTTATAAGAAAAGAGAGAAATAAAATACAGTTGTATTTGCATTATATTTTACCAAGCCCATGTTTTCAAGGTCCTAATAATAGAAAGATTTTTGAGTATGACACTCAGTGGGGTTTCTTTGAAACTGGGAAAAAATTAAAAAAAGATGACAAATTCCTAGAGGTATAATGCAATGGTAAAATTTGAGACCTGAATTTTTTTCAAGTGATTAAATAAAAAGGAAAAAAGGGAAATGCATAATTCATGTACAACTCACCAAGACTATATTAAAGTTTAAGCATAGAGGTCACAAACCAAAAATTCAGTGATTAGAACACAGAGAATAATGGAAAATTTGAAGCTGTTTATCTTCTAGCACATTTTGCTTCATAAACTTAGGACATCCATGTTTAGCCTCTTTTTACCATGCCTCCAAGGTATGTCTTAGATCCTTTACAAGGTAGCCCTGGTAGAGGTTGTCACATTTGCAATGTCATCTCTTGGCAAGCCAATCTCCTTCCTAATCCCACCCCAAGCTAATCCCTACCCCATTATGAGACAATTCAAACAAAATCTTCATTTCAGCTACCCTGAAACTCATTGCTCTTAGCCTTGCCAAATACTTTTGTTTTGTTTTTGTTTTGAGATGGAGTCTTTTTCTTGTTGCCCAGGCTGGAGTGCAATGGCATGATATAGGCTCATGGCAACCTTCAACTCCTGGGTTCAAGCAATTCTCCTGCATCAGCCACCCCAGTAGCTGGGACTACAGATGTGCACTACCACGCCTGGCTAATTTTTGTATTTTTAGAAAGACAGGGCTTCACCTTATTGTTCAGGCTCGTCTCGAACCCCTGACCTCAGGTGATCCACTTGCCTCAGCCTCCCAAAGTGCAGAGATTACAGGCATGAGCCACCATGCCTGTTAAAGTCTTTGGCCTTGCCAAAGACTTTGGACTCCTGCTATGCCCTTTATTAGATGCAATTTTTCTCACTGGTGTCTTCAAGACTAAATTTTTGATTCTCATAATACTTTGTTCTTACTTATAATATAGTCACTGATCACTTTGAATTGTAACAGCATCTATTTGCTTTTTTGCATAGACTGTTGTTTGCTTTGAGTAATAAAACATGGAGAAAAGTTAAACATTTACAAGCACTCTCTAAGTGTCAGGCACTATTCTAGATGCTTTACAAAACATATAATCTTCAAAACGACCCTATAGCGTGTATTATCATCTTCATTTTATAGATGAGTTAACCAGCTCTATAAGTTAATTAACTTATATACAGTTGGTAAGGAGAGAAACTAAATCTTTTCTGAGTTAAAGCTGCTTCTCTTTTAACCACATGACAACATAGGAGATTTTGAGTAAATATTTCCTTATTTTTGTGCCTGGACTTCGTACTTTCTGAATGTGGTCTCTAGACTGCTGTTTCCCTCTGTCTTGGGATGTGAGTGTGTCACCATTTTCCTCTTTTGCTAAGTATACTTCCTAGGTACTTTTCTAAAGATTTTACTATACATATGAGTGTGGAAGGGGGTCACAAGTGAAATTCGCCTTGAGTAACGCAGGAGGATAGTATCAGAGAGGAAGTAAAGGCTGCCATGATATTCTGGGTTGACAGAGATCTGCTGCTGTGTTCACCAACCAACACAATGAGTGGACCTCTGATGGCCCTGAGCAGACTCAAGGGGAGAATTCATATATTTCAGTCTAAATCTGAATGGAAACAGGCACTGGGCGGGTGGGGCAGTGTCTGGAGCTACCACAGAGGGCAAGCCACCTGTCAGTTATCATGATGCTCATGTGAGAAGCAAAGCTCTGTGAACATGGGCATTTTTCTATTGGTCAGTGAAAACCACAGCCTCTACTTTTTTTCACTAATCATAGTTAGCCATCCTTCCATTACCTGAATGTAAGGAGAGAATGGTAACTCTTCAGCCTGTAAACTTGTGAAGTCTCTATTTTTCTTCTTGCATAATTAGCCTTCTGCAACTGAATTTGGATTGGCTTTCTTGGCTGAAGAATAGAGGTCTTCTTAAATAAATGACTTATTTTTTACTCTGTTTTGCTATTGGGAAAAAGAAGTACTATTTTTATCTCTACACTACCATATGTTTTAAAGGACCTTTATACCTATAGCTATGTGAAAATAGTATCACTGTCTATATTTCTGGTTAAGAAAACTGAGGCCCAGAGAAGTAATGTGACCCCCCCGCCCCCACCAGCAAAGTCACAGATTAATGTAGCAACAAAGCTGAGATGTGATTCTAGGTCTCTTGACATTTGGGGTAATGTTTGTTTCATCACATGTCTGTCAATGTTTTTAAAAGGAAAAGAGTAAAAAGCAAAGAAATAGTAAAAAGAATTATTCTAGTTGATTTTTTGACAGGATGTATACCCTGTGGAGTTATTCAGCATCTGGGTTATTTTTGATCACCTGATGGCTCCCGGGACAAGGGTGTGAGCAGCTCAGAATAAAATTGGCTAGAGAAACAGTATCTCTTCTGACAAAATCACAACTTTCAACATTTCCAGCATTTACCAACATCAGGCATGCACATGAAAGACTCCAAGAAGTCATAGATGAAAGCTGGTATTTTTAAAGCCCCCTTCTGAATATTTGTAAAACTTGATGACACTAGAGGACAGTGCTTTTAATATTAAAAAAATAAGGCTTGGAAAAGGATTTGGAAGTGCATTTTACTCAAGATAATGAGAATTCATTAATTTTTTATTTGAGATAGGGTCCTTCCTTGTCACTCAGGGTAAAGTACAGTGTTGTGATCTTGACTCACTGCAACCTCCACCTCCCAGTTCAAGCAATTCTCCTGACTGAGCCTTCCAAGTGGCTGGGACTACAGGCATGTGTCACACACCTGGCTAATTTTATTTGGTATTTTTAGTAGAAACGGGGTTTTACCGTATTGGTCAGGCTGGTCTTGAACTCCTGACCTAAGGTGATCCACCCACCTAAAAATATTTTTAAGAATTTTCTCAGCATGCCTAATATGCTAGTGTTCACTCATTCAGTTTCCAGTGAGACTCGAGAAGCTGTCACTTTACAAATCCACACATTGAAGTTTTTAGTCTTCTATTCTTCAGCTGATATTTCAACCAGCAATAGGAGTTTCTCCAGGAGGTAGATGTGTTATTTGT